TATTTCGATATACATAGTATTTAAAGATATCACAGTAAGATTATTCTCTTATTGATTTTTTACTGTAACAGAGCCATCCCCATTATCAGGCAAGACTTCTCTCTTTAGACTTAGTTGATGGTGCAGTGCTTTCACATCAATTTCATTTTGTGATACTTGAGCTATAAGTAAGGATGTCGATTAGATGAGTAGTTTACTTGTATCCAAGAAGTCACGTTATCAGTTAACATTAAATTAAAGTCCTTTCGTCAACATCAAATTCTAAATTTCAATGTGTATTTCTACTTTACCGATATTACTAGAACTATATTTAGGAGCTGCAACGAGAATATTTCGATTCGGCCATGATACGAAGAATTGCTTAAAAATAGAATTCTCTCCACCATCTATTACTCGAGTAACACAAGTCCACTTAGGATAATTGAATTTTTCAATAAATGTCTAAATAATCAAATACTAATATTAGAAATAAGTTATCGATTTTATAAATTTAGGGACTTTTTACATCTCAAGAGATACATGCTATATACTTTTAAAATATCGAAACTGTAATAGAATAATGTAATTAGTTGTACTAATAAACGCTAAATTAATTTGAATAGCATACTGCAGCTTGACTCATTGCATTTGTTTTCTCCGCTGTGGTGCATTTTGAACCGACCCAAACAAAAATTTCGTTGCCTCTGATATCCAAGATGAAAGAATCCTGTCAAAATTGGCCGTAATGCATTATTCTTAGTATTCAAAACAGAAAATCTAAATCTGATGCCTATACCTTACTAAGTGCTATTCATTATCATTAATTATATTAAAGCATGGTAACAAATTTTTTAAATGACGATATACAATTTAATCTTTCATCTACCGTTAATTTATACCAAGTATTTGATGTATAGTAGTGTATAATATTTGTAGATATGAAAACTGATTTCAACGTAGTTTGTAGTGTTTTACTAAACAACATTCTTACATTATGGTCTAAATGTTCATATTTTAATGGTCTTTCATCGACCTGCGTCATTTCTAAGTCCCCACTAGCGTCCGAAATTCTAAAGTTTTAACGTCGAAATTAAAGTACATTTCGATAGCTATTAAAACCTAATCTTACATTTTATAGAAAGATTTCACTTTACCACCTCAAATCAAGATGAATTATTACATACCTGTATAAATGAATATCTTTTTTTGAAGAAACATCATCGTCAACGGCTTCAGCAGATAATACTTGGTCACGGTTAAATCCACCCAAGGCTTCAAAAAATTTGCTGTCAGGATCTACTCCGTCATCTTTTTATCAAATTAAATTTATAATATTTGTATAGTTTTGTATTTTTGCGACATGATAAATAGTTATGAAATGTAACATACGCGTAGTTAAATGTCTATGATATCGTCCTTTACGATATTATTTAATTTCATGAAATCATAGCTCGAAAGGAAATTCATCGTAAAAGTGTTACAATTATAAAACTTGAGACATTTACTAGTAATCAAAATCAATTTAACATTCTGCTGGGTAGAATAGTACTCATTAGTAGCTCATACAGCTGAAAAAGACAAAATCTAGTAATGTATAGGACTAGCTGATTTAATTTTCTGTTTTTGTCAAGGAATACTTAAAATATTCTAGTCTATAANTGAGGTATATTCATGAATAGAATGTGTTGTTTATTGCTTAAAAAAAGGCCATCTACAATGATTATTATAGATTATTTGCATGCCGTATTTATTTATTATAATCGTAGATACACTAAAATCGATAGCCGAATAAAATCGGTGTCGAAAACAAAATTTATCTTCCTCGATGCTATCTTACCTACCTATAATGTAAATTTTAGCTTTACCCCCGCGTTCATCATCACGAATGCTCCTAGCTACCTCCATTGCCTAGTAATTGTAATTTTGATGCTAATTTAGAGGTATTTGATCGCTATAAATGAGTGAGTTAGTTAATATTATTTAGGATTAAAAAAGTAAATTATTCTTTTATTTATAATTTAAGGACTACTTTTATCCGCTCCGTCCTGCGACTATCTTTACCGCACCAACAATAAATTTTCTTGCCGTCATCCAATATGAAACAATCGCCATCATTTAATGATGTTACATTAACTTCCACCTTAGAAAGATGATTAAAATAATGCATCAATTTAGTATATTTAGTATATGATATTTATTATTAATGTTTATCTCAACTTGTATTAGTTCTATACTAACTGAATAAATTCGGACTAGGCGTTTGCCTTTAATATGAAATAATTTTTTTTCATATACACCGCGTTGCACTTTTTTGAAACCAGACTCAACACCGCCTTCGATGTAGCTGGTTAGAATGTGAAGATTTAAATTTAAGTATGATAAATTTGATTAATAATAAAAATAAGGATATGTAATTAATGTTTTACCGCACTCCTTGTTTAAAATAAGACAAGAATTTTCTAGATTCATGATTCTGGATCTATAGCAAGAGGTCAATGGAAAAGACAATTCTAGAACTGCTGAAATCGTAGTTAATATAATTAAAGAAATTATAGATCTATTAATTTTTAATTTAATTTCATTCTTAATATGCATAATATATTGTTTGTTACTGATAAGCAACTAAATTTATATCGGAATTATGACTATCTAGGTTTACAAACTCTCCGATAATGATTGAGCGATAGCTATAACCTTAACTCTAAAGAAAAACTTATAAAAAGCTAAAGTTTAACATTTTCTAGGAGCTAATGCATTACAGTAGAAATTTCCATAAATTATGAGTTAAATTAATTAAGCTATGACAAAAAAGAATTTTATGTACAAGCCAAATTGAACAATAAATTAGGTATTTTCATGATAATTTAGGACAATACTTAAATTTTAGGCAAAAGCCTATCAATTAAAGCTGTCGGTATTACCAATCTTTATCTACAACTTGATTTATTAACTAATCCTGAAAGTATATGTGATACAAAGTACGGTACGCTACCTCTCGGTATTGCACAGGACTACCTCCAAGAAGCTCATCCAATTCAACAGTTTTATAAGCAGCAACTCCAGCTTCATCCTGATTCCGATGTTAGTGATATAATTAATATATGTACTTATGTTTAATTTAGATTAGAAAAATTAAACTTGAAAAAAATGCAGTACATCATAAATGTACTAGTAATCTATCTGGCAGCACAACCTGAATAAATAATTAATTAATCGCATAAATTAGATCGTCAAGAAATAGTGCGTCTATTTTTGTTTACCTGTGATGTCGTCTCACCAAGCCAGAAATGAATATCCCAAGATAACTTATTATTCTGTTTCTTGGTCTAAATATGTATATTAGATTTTAAAAGGCAGAAATTAAGTAATACATACATCTGATTGCTTACCTACTAACGTATCAATCGTAATCGAAATGAATTCGATAATATTTAGTAGTCAGGTTGTAGATTCATGAATTATAATTTTTTCAGAGAAGTATATCTTTTCTGACACACGGTAGCAAATAATAGCATCATTTTATTCAATCATAGGATAGCGATAAAGATTGTGACATTTAGCGCGATCTATGAAATGATAGATAATGAAATATAGCTGGAATTTGCATTAATACTAGAAAATATGTGTTTAGGTAACACTTACTACTTCTTTGTTACTCTATAATTTCAATAAAGATATTAATGTGTAAGTATGAAAGGTTTCTCTGTCCTGTTGTTTTCTTACTCGATTAAAAATATATTAGTCTATAAATTTTACTCGTAAATATATCCTGGTGCAGTAATAATAATCTCTAATAAATCACAAGTACTACCAGATTTAAGAAATGTTATAATAGCGCAAAAAGTTGATATACAAGAATGGTGCACAAAATATCTTCTCTAATCTTCGTATCGGTCCACCACTATCCGCATTATATACAGCTAAGTGCACAGAATAGTGTCTTGATCAAAGATAGAGGGGCCTTCCATATAAAACTAGTTCTATGCAGTTACCCTCCTTAATTTAGCTCCATCTGGTAGAATTAATGCTCATGGTATGTGCCATATCACAATTGCGGCATAGATAACTTTCTCTATTGGAAGTATAGCTAATCTAAGTTGGCTGCTACTAAGCGTTTCTAGTTACAATGACCTACTTATACTATCTTAGTTAGCTAAACGCTGATAGGACCGCTCCAAACTAGGTAATAAGCCTCTGTTGAAAAAGTATTTCACTGCAATTTTATCTAATTCCTCTCTATCTACACAATTATGAAGTTCGTATACACCTTTAATAAGGCTAGCCCGTACGCAAGTGATATTCAAAATAGCTATACGAGTAAATTGTACATTTATAGTCTCTATAAGACAAGTTTAACATAGATATATATGAGATACAATCTTGTTAATTTATTTCACTCGCTATTCAGTATGTCGCAACACTAGTTTGGTTACTGAAGTAGAAGTGAACAATCTCTGCCTTTATCCATTTTGCAACATGTTACGATGCGTAAGCTCGTCCTAATTATTTGAAGTCTTTAATGACAATATTCATAATAATTCCTATAACTTTAAAAGGATACTTTTATATTATGTGCACCGGGAGTTTCTGACGAGACTATAAAAGGCTGGTGCCTGAAGATTCCTTTTTAGTTGGTTAGTCGGTTAGATAGTCAACTAGTTTTTAAATTGATATTTAATTGTAAAGACTATAATCTTGGGTGCCAAGATTCCTTCAGTAATAAATGATAGTAAATCTCTGACTATCTCGTCTACATCATCTGTGACGCTATAATTGTACCATAGTATTCGGTCGTTGGAACTGAATTATTTGGTGATATAGCTAATCTCGCCTCCTTAAGTTAGTAAGTGGCGTTCTCCGCAAGGATTGGCGTGTGTAGACTACTTTGTCACTAGTGGTGTGTGACACAACAATATTGATTCCAGTTTTAGTCCGTAGATTAACTTAAACTTTAATAATGCAATAGGACAATATTTTTGCCATGATCCATCTCATTAGCCGCAATTATCATCTAAGAATCAGTTTTAGTCGAAAAAATGTAGTGCATTACGATTCTTGTTGTAAAATATTAGAATAATTATTCATAAAGAGCTAGCATGTGAACATTATATGCGACAGTATACTGTTTGATAGCTGGAGGTATAGTATTTTTGTCGAATCATGTATTGTTGAATTAGCAAATAAGGGTAATTTATGAAAGAGAGACTCATTTCCTTTTCAGATCTTCTATAACGAAATGAGACGATATTAAATCGAATTTTGCTCTCAATGTATAGATTACTTACACTTAAGCATATATAAGAGTCACCATTATGAAATTTT